GTGGATCATTGAGGGCGTCGCAAGCTGCATCGGTCTTTAAACGGTACCCGCCATACTGCTTGGATCCGACAGTCAGACCGTAAGTTGTCCAAAATCTCAAAATCCTGGATTCAGCCTCCTATCCAGTTGTCGAATCACGGCCTTCAATACCAATAACCCCCTAAGCCGCAATTTAGATCAAGGCCGAGGGCCTTTACTTAGCACTGCAAGTCACAGTGCAGTTTGCTTGGCCCGTCGAGGTCTTGGACGAGTTGCTCCGAGGATGTAGGGGCCGAACTCCCAAAGACTCCGTTGGTAGTGTACTTTGCCAAACTCTTCTGGTGAGGCCTGAGCCCTCAACCCTAATCCCTGAACTTACCGCCAAACCTCCTTCACCACCTCGAGGCTCCTTATAGTGCTATGGGCAGTTTTCCTTGGAGTTCGAACTACACTGTTAGGGTTTAGGGTTCGGGGGTCCGGGATTAGGATTTTTGAGTTGCAAGAGCCATCTCCCCAGCTTGTTGAAGAAGCACGTGCGCCAGTCCTTGGATACTGTGAGTGCCAGTGCCTCCTAAGCAAGATCTTCAAAATTGTAAACCCTATTGTCCGAGTGTGAGTGCCCAAACCCTGAACCCCAAACCCAAAGGCCCTAAGTATTCGGGGCTCAAGGTTTTAAAACGCAAGTTGGTGTTCAGGGGTTGCCAGGTCGAGGAACCTGGAACTCTTGGCAAAAAGCGGACCTGAATCTAGTCGTAGAGTAGGTAAGCTTTGATTTGTTTTTGGGCGGGGGGGGGGTACGAAAATCCCTATAAAAGCCCAAAGGTTAACCTTTAGTTTGCCGAGGATACTGGGAAAGTATGTGAAACCAAGTTCCCCAAGAAGCTAATGGAGCTTTTGCGACAGCAGTTGTACAGGCTTGGAATGGCACAGAAGAGCTTGCTGTCAAAATCGGGATGGTGAACCCTAAACCCTAAATAACCGAGAGTGGGAGCAGTGGGACCTGAAGGAGCCCTCCGTCCATATGGGGAGTTCTCTAAATTAGGGTCCCTTTTTAGATCCCCAAGATAGTACGGCACCCTTATAAGAAGGACCTCAAAAGGGACCCTAATTTAGAGACATACCCATATGGGGAAGAGTTGTCGAGGTCCCGCTGCCATCTCAGAAGAAGAGCATCGGCCTAGAAAGGCTCGGAAGGAGAGGATCGGCCTAGAAAGATACTGTGAGAAAGAGAGAGAGAGAGAGAGATTAGGGTTTAGGGGAAAGCCTGTTGCAAAAGGGTGAGATAGAGAGAGAGACGGAGATGAGACACGGAGATGAGAGACCCAACCGAAACCTCTGTGAGGGAGGAAGGAGCAAGGCGGCGCAGCAGGAGGGATGCAATCAGAGTCTCCTGACTCGCGGTTTGCGGCAAGGTTGTGTTTCGTGTTTCGGACTTACCTAGACCCCAAAACTTAAACCCCCAAACCTTAAACCCCGAAACCCTAAACCTTAAGCCCTAGAACCCTAAAGCCCTAAAGCCCTAAACCCCTAAAAGCCCTAAACCCTGTTTGGGTTTGAAGCTTCGCCTGCCTCGACCTCGGGATGCCTGGGTTCCCAAGACGTCGAGCAGACCCCAGGCCCTGCGATAGAAGCTGCAATTTCTCCTGAAACTAATACACCGCACAGGCCCATTCTAATCACTGAGTTGTGGCCCAAACCCCCCAAAAGTAGGTGAAATAATGGCCCAAGACCCTTCAAAAGGCTATTATTTTGCATGCTTTAGGGGTCCAGGTAAGACTAAGACACCAATTTTAACCCATTTTTCTGATTGCTAAGTCTCTCACTCGTGTGCCGCCTCGTGGTGGCTCCAGCTTCCTTGCGCAGATCCGGGGACACAACCTACCCCCCAAAGCGATTCTAGGGTTTAGGGTTTAGGGTTTAGGGGTTTAGGGTTTCTGGATTTTTGGAGTGGGGTGTGGGGCCGTCAGGCATCTACGCCGCAGACACCAGGAATACTGCAAAGAGCCGAAGTAGAAATACATGACCGCGGGAGGAAGGACCTGATTCTTGTACTTTCATTTCGCACCAACAGCCCCATACCCAAAGCTTTAATAGACGTATAAGCCTTACTCGAAAAATTACGAAAAAATTATGCGGAGACGCCTTCCGGATCTGAAGCTTTAATGCAGGGGCCTAAGAATTTCAGTCTTTAACAATTGCGGCCCCGAAATTGACCTCAGAAACCTATAGATCATGGATTTAGGATGACTAGCCCTATACTTTACCTTACGGGCATGAGGACAATGATCTTACAAATTTCTGGCTTCTACTTTACACTAAAGTCTGGATACCCTGTTACTTATTTGGCACCGAGGGCGGAGGTGGTCTCGACCCGACCCCAAAACCGCAGACGCTACAAAACCCTTGAAGCGCAAAACCCCAAAATGCTCGAAGCCTTCAAAACACTAAAACCCTGAAGCGCTAAAGCCCTAAACACCAGAGCCTAAGCCCTTCGCCCGGTTAAGCTCGCAACCTCCGGCAGCACGTCCCCACAGCCTAAATCCTAAACCCTCCTCCGGCGGGGCGTTGCAATGCCGAAGAGGTGGACCTATGCCTCCAGTCCGCATTGGTTTAGGGTTTAGGCATTCGGTTTGGTCTCCTGGAGCTCCTCTGGTTTCATATACAAGCCTGAATACTTCGAAAACTGCTCCTTAATAGGATTCCTCACTTTATATTACACCAATGAGGAACCAAAGCCTCTTCGACTACTCTCCGCTTGCTATTACATTAAGCCCTCTCCCCCTTACTCCTACCATGGTAGTATTCTTCATTTTCATATCAACAGGGTATAGCAGTTTGGATGTGTACGTTACTCAGTGCTTTATTCGAAACCCTTCCCTTGGGGCAGGCCACAGACCCTCCTGCAGTTCTAATTGCTGTGCTGAGCTTGCTGACTGCAGTTCTTGCAGTCCTAAGAGAACCTTAAACTCTGAGCAGGAAAGGACCTCAACTCACACGTTCTAGAGTCTCGAGTGTACTCGCGCTTGCAATCGAGCTTTTTTCGGCTGCTGGGATGATACCTAAACTCTGCGATCCAGGTAATTTTTCGTAGTTAGATTTAGGTCCCCAACTAACCCTCTACCTTTAGGCCGCCCACGTTCTCCCAAAGAGCATTTGCGGTAGAAAACACGCGTTTCGGCCTTACTTGCCCTGTAATCTTGGCCCTTTTGCACTCTTCGGCTGCATTCCTTTCCCGGAAATATGATTTAATTATTAGAAATATTGCATAATTCTAACGGGATTATTAAGGCCTGCAGGCCCCCCATCTTAGAGTTCGTGAAGGCTCCAGTTGGGCTAAACCCTAAACCCTAAACTATAGTAGGGCTGAGGGGTGTCAGGTGTAATTGGGGGTGTTCGTAGAGTCTTAGGGGCTGAGAGCCAATGTCCATCCAGGTAGAGTTCATGCTGCCAGGGATGGAGTCCACCGACATTCAGTAAGTCCCTAGGTTTGTAGGATTGGTAGGTGGGGATAGCCGGATGACCATTTCGGGCCTTTTGCGGTCTTGGAAGCTCCCATAGTCCCATACCACGCCTAAGAGGCGCGCTGGCAAAACATGGGTTTCAACAAGGGGCAGCTAAACTTACGATGGCCTGAAGGCCCGAGTTGCCGTCCATCAAGAAGGTGTTGTTCCTTCCAACACCGTTGTTCTTGCTTCGGGGGTTGCAATGCGCAGAGCCCCCAAGTCGTCATGCTAGTTACCTACACATGGCTTCTTTTTCTGTTTCATGACCGTTTATCTTGATGGGGGGGGTCCTGAACTTGACCCTAGACCTGGAAAACAAGCAACTTTCACAGTTAACACGTGTACCTTCCACTGCCGCCACAGAACAGGGCGGATGGGAGAAAACAGCAACTTAAACCGCAGAGCACTAGGCGCATTTTCGCTCACATCGCAACGGTTAACGGTCAGGTAGTATCGTTTGATATGCAAGAAGAATCAAGAAGTTAACTAGTGAAAGGTACAACACTTCAGAATCCGCACATGTTGCACTGGCAGTGTGCCGGACGGCCTTTATTCCGAGATACATCCGTGAAGAGACAGACAGACAGACAGACAG